AGTAGTAGTAGTAGTAGTAGTAGTAGTAGTAGTAGTAGTAGTAGTAGTAGTTTAGTAGTAGTAGTAGTAGTAGTAGTAGTAGTAGTAGTAGTAGTAGTAGTAGTAGTAGTAGTAGTAGTAGTAGTAGTAGTAGTGTAGTAGTAGTAGGAGTAGTAGTATAGTAGTCAGTACGTAGTAGGGGGTTAGTAGTAGTAGTAGTAGTAGTAGTAGTAGTAGTAGTAGTAGTAGTGGTAGTAGTCGTAGTAGTAGTAGCTAGTTAGTAAGTTAGTTAAGTAGTAGTAGTAGTAGTAGTATTAGTAGCAGTAGTTAGAGCAGTAGTAGAAATAGTAGGAGGAGGAGGAGCGAGGAGGAGGAGGAGGAGGAGGAGGAGGAGGAGGGAGGAGGAGGAGAGGTGTAGGAGGAGGAGGCAGAAGGAGGAGGAGGAAAACGGAGAGTGCCAGGAGGAGGAACCGGGGGAAGAGAGGAGTAGAGTCTCGGGAAAATATGGCGCGAGGTCTGCCGTGGTTTCCTGTCGGGTTTGCTTCTGGAAGTGTACGAGAGGCAGCGGCAGGCGTAACCGTTTGGGGGTACACAGCAGTTCTGCCCACCGCCAGCGCTGGTTCCGCGCTTGCCCCGAGCTGTTGGAGGGGAGGCCCTGATGCCCTGGCGGCGGACGTGCAGCTGATGGACATCGGCGCCCGCAGCTGGGTCTTGTCGTCAAGCTTCCCTGGGGAGGGTGGGGGGCTCCGGCAGAGCCAGGGGCACGGACGCGCCGCCCCGTGCGTTCCTGGACGAAAGCGTGGCCCGCTGTCTCGGCGGTCTCCGCACGCCACGAGGTTGTCCCCTTCCCCGTGTGTTGCCAGCATTCTGCCGCTTGCCCGAGGGGGCCCAAAGATGTCCCGGGAGGCCCAGGTGGCCTCCAGAGAGCACCCCTCTGAAGGCCCAGGGGGCCCCGGTCGCTCAGACCTGGCGCGAAGGGCTGGGGACGCCGTGGGCCAGGACCACCGGCAACGCCCGACCTTCGGGGCGCGGGGGGGTTCGACGGATGTCAGGCGGGCGCGCCCGTCTCGCTTTCGGCAGCACCGCTTCTTTGCGGTGTGTGCATCGGCCGAGACCAAGCCAGACACGGCAGTTTAGTTTGTTGATGCCGCCCTTTTCTAGGAGCCCTGGTCTTTTCGAGTTCCCCTTGCTCCGTTGCCAGGTCGTGCTGTGCCCCCTTAACCGACCAACTCAACATATTTGTCCCGACGAACGTTTTGAATGTTGATATCCTCGGAAATAGCAGGGACAGTCGCAGGGATACGCGTCGCGAGGCTGAGTGGTACAGCGTTGAATGGTGTGAATGTGATATGTCGGTGGCTGGGGGTTGAGATCGAAGTGAAACGGAGTCGCTCACGCGGAGAGGAGATTTCGGTTTCGGTTCGTGTCGGACGTGACGTGCGTGCGGGCGAGGCGAGGCAACTTGCGCGAGTTCCTTCCTGAGTAGAGGCCAAATCAGGCCAGCATGAGTCGCCCAGGCCTGGGCGTTGTGTCGCGGATGGTTGTCCCGACGGTTGTCCCGATGGTTGTCGACACGTTTGTCCTGGTGGGTGTCTTTGATGGTTGTCCCGATGGTTGCCCAGACGGTTATCCCCGACGGTTTTCCCGATGGTTGTCCCGATGGTTGTCCCGATGGTCGTCCCGATGGTTGTCTCGATGGCTTTCCAGATGGTTGTCCCGATGGCTCTTCCGGGCCGTAAGCTTTCTGTAAGGCCAGACACGCGCTCTACGAGGCCATAATCCAACAAAGTATGCCCTGCGGTGCAACCCTACAACAACCCTCGTCGCGGGGCAAACGAACAATAATAGATAGCGAGACAGATACTGTGATAGACGGATATCGGTGGAGAGGCAATGATCTACCTTTGCATGTAAGTGTATGTGTATGTGTATGTGGGTATGTGTATGTGGGTATGTATGTGTACTTGTATGTGTGTATGCATATGTTTATGTATATGTATATGCATATGTATATGTATATGTATATGTATATGCATATGTTTATGCATATGTATACGTATATGTATTTGTACATGTATATGCATATACATGTATATGTATATGTATATGTATATGTATATGTATATGTATATGTATATGTATATGTATATGTATATGTATATGTATATGTATCTGTATTCGTATGTGTATATGTATTGAACGCGTATATATATATATAGGTATATGTATGTATATATACACATGTATGTGACTATGTATATGTATATGCATATGTATATGTACATGTATAGGTAAATGTTTATGTGCGTATATGTATATGTATGTATGTATATATATATATATATATATATCGATGTATATATTTTGCTGGCCTCCGGCCAGTGCCGCCGATCCCGGGGCTCTCCAGAACATGACTATGATGGTGATGTTGATGTTGATGATGATGATAATGATGATGATGATGATGCTGATGACGATGATGATGGTGGTACTGCTGATGATCACGATGCTGATGGTGATTCTGATGATTATGATGATGCTTATCATGGTAGTGACACTGATGAAAAGCATGAAGATGGTGATGACGACGACGAGTCCCAGGATTGTGATGCTGGTGATGGTGATGGTGGTTGTGATGATGATAGCGGTGTGCCCACACTGATGCAGATATGATTACGGTGGTGTTGATGTTGATGGTGTGAATTCTCAGGGTGCTAAGGGTGATGCAGTTGGTGAGGACGGCGATAGTGATGGTGATGTTGCCTATGATGATGATGGTGATGATGCTGATGATGGTAATGCTGCTGCTGATGATGGTGATGATGTTGATGTTGATGAAGATGATGCTGCTGCTGCTGATGATGATGATGCTGATGCTGATGCTGATGCTGCTGCTGCTGCTGCTGCTGATGATGATGATGATGATGATGATGATGATGATGGCGTTGACCATGGTGATGGTCGTGGGGATGTTGATGACGACGGTTATGATGAAACTGATGAAGAGGTAGAGGTACGCCATCAGATGCTGCGTCTTCCGTCTCCACGTCCTGTGGAGCTCATAGGGGCCGTCCTGGGGCTGTTTTTGGCCTTTTGTTAGGAGGGAAGAAGAGGATGGAGGAGGGAGGGCGAGGGAGGAGGGAGGAAGGAGGAGGCAAGAGGTAGGGGGGAGGAGGGAGGAGGGAGGAGGGAAGAAGGAGGAGGGAGGAGGGGAGGGAGGGAGGGATGAGGACTGAGGCTCAGGTGATGAGGACTGGGCCCATTAGGAACCCTCAGGCTTGAGGACTGAGGCTCAGGGGATTGAGCAAGGGACCTGGGGAAGCCTCTTGGGGGTCGTTTTCGGGGCCTCTTGGGGCCTCTTTCGAGCCTCTTGGGGGCCTTCTGGGGCCTCCTGGGGGCTTCTTGGGGGCCTGTTGGGGCCTTTTGGGGGCTTCTTGGAGCCTCTTGAGAACCTCGTGAGGGGAAGGCAGGGATTTTTGGTTCGGGCTCCCCCTCTTGGGCCTCTCCTGGGGCCGTCTTGGAGGCCTCTTGGGCCGGCTTGGGCGCTTCTTGGGCCGTCTTGGCGCCCTCTTCGGCCGTTTTGGGTTCGTCTTGGGGGTCTCTTGAGCCGTCTTGACGCGGTCTCGGAGGCCTCTGGGACCGTCGGCAACGTCGTGAAGGCCGAAATGTCGTATAAGGTAAAAATGTACGTTTTCCCTTTGGAATTGGTCGATTTGGACCTCGTAGGTCTCTCTTCGCAGGTGGTTGGATACCTGTTGGAGCGTCTTGGAGGCGTTCTGCGAGCACGACATGCGTCGGGAATGGTGTTTAGAATGGCGTCGGCCCCCTCCCCCTCCATGGTCAGAGCGTCGGAACGGCGTCGGGAATGGTGTGGGCCCCCCGCCCCCGAGCACTAAATGCGTCGGGAATGGCGTCGGGAGTGGCGTCCCCCCCCTCCCCCTCCCCCCTTCATGGTGTAGGCCCCCTCGCCCCCGAGCACTAAATGCGTCGGGAATGGTGTCCAGAATGGCGTCCCCCCCCCTCCCCCTTAATGGTGTGGGCCCCTCCGCCCCCGAGCACTAAATGCGTCGGGAATGGCGTCGGGAGTGGCGTCCCCCCTTCTCCACCCCTTTGCAGAGCGAAGCTTGAGCGAGCTCAAGTCCACGCTCTCAGAAACTCACACGCCGGATCGGCGGTCATATACGCATTGGTGTATGGACGGGTAGATCGATTTATAAACGCATATATAGATGTATCTATACATATATATATATATATATAGATATCGATAGATGGGCAGATAGACCAGTTGTCCCGATGGCTGTCCGATGGATGCCCGAAAGATAGGTAGTGAGGTCGACATACCGACTAGGTTGGGGAACATGCGTGGCTGGCGCGCGAGAGCGGCTATCATGGCCCCGTCAACCAGGCCATTGCAGCCCAGAGTTTTGTGCCAGGCCCAGATGGAGAAGACGACTTGGAATCTACGACGCACGACCGCACTTTTCCAGGGCGTGTCGTTCTCATGGTTTAAAAGTGCCCCCGTCTGCGGGGCCCTGAGGGTAGTGGTTGAATGTGAATGCGAACTGCGAGCCATAGGCGTCCAGTTTCAAAAAGACGGCGATGAGGATGGCAGAGGGAGGAGCATGCGGAGCAGCGAGTAGGAGGAGGAGCAGGATGAGGAGGAGCAGGAGGGGGCGGAGAAGGAGCAGCAGGAGGATGAGAAGGAGGAGGAGGAGGAGGAGGAGGAGGAGCAGGAGGAGGAGGAGGAGGAGGAGCAGGAGGAGGAGGAGCAGGAGGAGGCGGAGAAGGAGCAGCAGGAGGATGAGAAGGAGGAGGAGGAGGAGGAGGAGGAAGAGGAGGAGGATCAGGCTTGACGGCGTGAGGACGGGAGCGGCGCGCAGCGCACCGGTCTGGAGAATCCCCCCCATCGCCACAGCATGCCGGCTGCTGTTGTCGCACCGCGTGCCGCGGAGGGCAAGCCGCGCACCAGAGGTCACTCTTGCCCAGGGCCGTCCTTTGCGTGTAGCCGGCGGGTCCAGGTGCCAACCTCCTGGACCCCATGTTCCAGGGCGAGTACCGCGAGAAGCCGCGGCACGAGGCGGGCTCTGGCACGGCGTGGCTTCAGCGGCCTTTGGCGGCTGCCGCCCCTCGTCCTCCTAGCCAGGCTCGGCTGAGGCTGGGACAAATCGTGTCTCGTGAACGCTCCATGGTCACTGGGCGGGCTGGACCCGGCCCACTCGCCGTCCAGGTGGGTCCGCCGCCCCCCCTGGGGATCTTGGCTTTCCAAATTTTTCCAGAGGGGTTTGAACCCGCCAGGTCGCCTGGTGGGTCGGGTCATGGCTGTCTGGTAAACATTCCAACGCTCGGGATCCTTGCTATCGGCATCACATATACTCTTTGCTTCTCGGGATTTTCCCAAAGGGTCCTTAGTTTGCGTTACTAGCTCGCGACGTTTTCTCGCCAGTAGTCCCCAGAGTGTCGACAAGGTCTTTCGGGCGCCAGTGGGGATGCTCTGTCGCTAGTGTGCTGTCTTGATCGGTTGCCCACGATGCGCACACCAAGGCACAACGTGAGGCAGATCTACATGTGCAACTGCGTTGAAACGAGCATGCGCACCAACGCTCATGCACTCGGACACGAAGATACACACACCCACACAGTTGCACACGCGTGCGTATGTGCGCGATTTCGCCCACTAGCACGCCCACTAGCACGTGCACAGACTTTTCCCACGATAGGCGAAGGCGGTGCGTTATGGAGTGCGTCTGACTTACATCAATTACCGATATCGCCTGCACCGCCACCGTCGATACGCTCGATGTGTTAACAGTACTTCCTGTGTGTAGAGACTTCTCGTAACAGCGGACGCCATCAAACATGGACACACACGGGCTGTTGGTGGTTGTCTAAGCCGGCGGAAAACCACGCTACCCCGAGATACGATAGCTTGCACCGCCACCCGTCCCTCCTCCCTCATCCTCCTCCGCGTCCTCCTCCTCCTCCTGGTCCACATCCCCATCCTCCACCTACTCCTTATCCTCCTCCTTCTCCTCCTTTCCCCCCATCATCCTCATCCCCCTCCTTCACCACTCTCCAGCTCCGCCTCCTCAAGACTCCACCTTTTGAAAGCGCTGGTCTGCCCAGGGGTCTTGAGATTACTAGTACTGCTGAAGACGTTGGTATGCCACGGGATCGTTAGGCTACATGTCTTGCTGAAAGCGTTGGTATGCAAAGACATCTAAAGTTTACCATTTTGCTTGAAGCAATGGTATGCCAAGGCATGCTGTGTTCATCATGTTTGATGAGAGCACTGGTCTGCCAATGGACCTTGGGTGTACATGGCTGAATGAAAACGGTGGCATGCCAATGGATCCAGAGTGTACATATTTTGCTGAAGGATTTGGTATGCTGAGGGATATTGCGCTTTGGTTTTCTGGAGACGTTGGCATGCCAATGGGGTATGCAGTTTTTCATTTTTGCTGAGCACAGTGGTGGTTTTACGGAGAAGTAGGGGGTAGTGATGAATGCTAGATGTTGCGAAGGATGTTCTGAGTATTGCAACTCATACGGAAGGTAATTCCGTGCATGTTTTGTGGTTGATAGTACTGGATGGCGTGCTCGTCTTCCTCCTCGTTCTCCTCCTCAATTTTTCCCTCGTTCTCCTCGTCCTCATCCTCACATCTCCCTCGTCGTCCTTCTCCTCCTCCTCCTCCTCCTGCTCATCCACCTCCTCGTCCTTCCTGGTCCTTCCCGTCCTCATTCTCGTCCTTCTCCTGCTCCTGCTCCTATTGCTGCTCCTCCTCCTTCACATCCTCCCCGTCCTCCTCCTCCTCCTTCTCCTCCTCCTTCCTCCCTCCCTTTCTCCCTCCCTCCCTCCCTCTTCCTTCATTCCTCCTTTTCTTTCCCCTCCTCCCTCCTCCTCCGCCTCCTGCTCCTGTTCCTGCTGCTGCTCCTCCTTCCCCCCTCCTGCCCCTAATCAACCTCCTGTGTGTCTACGATCCCGCACGCAAGGAAATAGCTGGGCAGCGCCGAGTGCCTGAGCCCGAGTGCCGAGTGCCACTTGCAGTGCTAATGCACCCCAGACGAGCGCCGCTCTCGCTCTCTCTCTCTCTCTCTCTCTCTATCTCTTTCTTTCTCATCCTTCTCCACCTCCTCCCACCTCCTCTCCCATACCCTCCCTCTTCCTCCCCCTCACTCCCCCCCCCTCCCCTGCCGTACACACCCCAAGCCCTCTCCAAACCTAACAACCTACCTGCAAGACCTCGAGCCTCCTCCTCCTCCTCCTCCTCCTCCTCCTCCTCCTCCTCCTCCTCCTCCTCCTCCCCCTCCTCCACCGCGGACCCCATCACAAGCTAAAAGCAATCTCGAGCCTTTTCCCGGTCTACCAGGGCAGCGTATTAAATAAAGGCAGACAAGCCGAACACGTGCGGTATCCGCCACCTGGCCGCGAGGCACGAGTTGGAGTGTCCTCAGGTCCTGTGCGTCCTCTGTCCTGAGTGAACGAGTATTACGGGCCCGGCCTCCAAAATGCTGGATTGT